CTTATTGGCAATATCTACTATACGTGATAAATTCCGAGATCTCCATATATTACCCAATTTCATATTCATCCCTGGGGGAAACCAATTCTGATTTAAGAATGAGGAGTATCGTGACAATTTGGGTAGCAAAAGTTTGGTATGCCACTTCCAGCATTGAATAGTCGAATAGACTAAATCTATAGGTTGAAAAAATTCAACAGGTCGGACAGCACGCGACCATATCACGTCTTCCAGACAGTCTGGGTGGATGATGTCATTACAAATAGTGATCCATAGTGGTTTGACCGAAGAGCGTAGAATTTTACAGGAAATGGATATCATTATTGCTCTATAATATGACAACAGATCCGGAAAACCAAATCCTCCTTTGCATTTAGGCCTCCGCAAGACCATGAAACCAATTCTGGGTCTCTTAGCATCCCAGAGAAATTTATTTAAAGTGGTTTGCCATTTTTGATTAACGAGGTTGGGATGGTCAGAGGTATTGTTCTAAATAAAAAAATTAATTTAGGCATAATGAAAGATTTAATGGAATTTGGTCAGAGATTCATAAATACGATCAAACTATTGTACGCGAGCCCTACAACCAAAATTAAAATCAATGGCACCTTTACTAAACCCATCTCATTATGCAGAGGAACCCGTTATTGTTTGCACTGGCGATGGAACCGTTGGCCAACGCCATCCGTTCTCATCCTGACATATCCAGTAGTAAATTTCAGAAGCAGGAGTACAAATTATCTTTATTCGCAGATGACATGATATTGTACATTACGAATCCAAATAGGTCCCTCCCAGCACTTCATGACCTACTAAAATCTTTTGGTGCTTTTTCTGGGTTACAGATTAATGACAACAAGTCACAGTTTTTACCATTGAATCTCTCTCGGGAGTGTGAAAACTTTATTAAATCAGAGTTCAATTATCATTGGGTGTCTCAATCATTAACGTATCTAGGGATTAATATTCCAAAGGATCAGAATGCATTATTAGAACTAAATCACATAGAAATGAACAAAGAGATATCTAAAACAATACTTTAATGGAGGCACTATGGTATGTTGGGGGGAACTTGGATATAGTGTTTCTTGGTGTATAGATTCTGCCCTCCAGGCCAGTCCAGGGATGAGGGGAAAACTCTACACTGGCTCAATACATTACACAATAACCCAGAGAGGTAGGCTCTCTGGATTTCAGAACAAAAGCCACCAGGAATCTCTAAACATACTCCCCCACCAGCCTGAGATTAGAGATTCCAGAATCTCAGTTGGCATCTGGGAATTAATACATTAGCAACTCAATCTAGACCTGTGCAGTTAATCTTACCAAGGTAGCATAATTTGGTGAGCATAAGGCACAGGAGTTTAGCCTTGAAATCCAGGTACAATACAGACAAACAAGTTATAAACCAAGATAAGTTTATTCAGCACAGAATTTAGCAATTAGACTACAAGGATTACTGAAAACAAGAAAACTTATGGCTCTTGGCCCTCACTAAACATTAAAGCGATATACATAGTTACCAGGATGATCCATATTCAAGAATGTCCAAGTATAAAGTCCAATTAGGTCCCATCTTTGTGCAAGCATGCAGCCATGTGCTCAGCTCCAAAGCAGCTCTTTGTCTCTGCCAGAGACCACATTGCAGGACAGCATTTCAGGTGGACAGCACACAGAGCAGCAGAGATAGCAGGAACAGAAGAGAGAGAATTCCTCTCATTGGGAATGACCAGATATAGGGCATTCCAGTCCCAAATTAGCCCTGGCCAGGGGCCAATTGGAGTAGACATGGGAGTGTCCAATTGTTTAGTGGCCATGGGTGCAACATCTGAATGGTCAGGACACTGAAGGCCACACCCGCAGTCATGTGACCCCAGCTCCAGCTAGTCCATGGGCTACGTGCATTTCTGACATGCTGGCCTAGCTTCCAGCATGGAAGTGTGAAGGAATGTGTTTTTATGGCATGGCAATGGGCTTCTCTGACCAAATGTTCAAGCCATTTGGCTTCAACAGGAAATCAACACAGCAGGGTATCAGCAAGAGACATTCCAGGGGAAGGCAGGGGTTTTTAGAAATCAATATTTCTATACACTTGGATATATTTATTTCTGTATTGTAAGCTGCCTTGAGCCATAGGGAAGAGTAGGGTGTAAATGCTTTAATAAATATATTCACTGGAAGACTTCTTTATCAAATTTATACTCCGCCCTCCCCACCAAAGCAGGCTCAGGGCGGCTTGCAAGGAAGTAAAACACATAGATAGCCGTTAAAACAATCATAAAACCATCGAAAAAAATCCAGACAATATAGAGTACTAGTACACGTTGGTTTGACAATAATAATAGTGATGATATTTGGCGGAGATGGCAGCAAGTCGATGTCCTATCCTGCACACAGTTACAGCTGTGATCGGACAGAAAC